CACGATAATTTATATGAAAATTAACCATTCTTCCTCCTTATCAAAGCAACTACTGAACCTAAAATTTTGAAAAAAATACACAAAATAGTTACTTACTTATATACCTATACAGGAAAATTATTAAAAAGTCTATGGTCTGAACATGACGTGGTAAATCTTTTAACAAAACAGCATTGTGAACACAAATTTACATTTGTAGTTAAACTACAATGTTAAGTTAGTTTTCGGGTTAGGGTTCCCTACGTCCTAATGAAAAACAGAATCCTTATAGGAGCACTCGTGTGTCTGCCTGTCCGTTTTTTTTTTAAACACCTCGTGAAGGTTTATCTACGGTTAGGTATAACCTAGGCCAAATTAGTTATAGCTGGAATCAAATATATAAAAAATGAATCATTTAGACATTTCTGTAAAGAATCCAATGGCATAAAATAATTCGAAGTGGTCTGTATTCGTAAATACGTAATCCTAAAATGTAGCATCGTGCTACAGATGGCGTTCACTGTGCCGTTTGTAGTATTTTCTGAATCCAATGGCAGTTCTATCATTTTCCTTGTTCACGTCGTATTGGAATACGCCCAATGTAGTTAATATAGGTACTGCTCATAAATATTCTAATCAAATGTATTACTAACATGCAAATCCTTAGCATTTCCTCTCGTGCTCGTTTACATAACAGTAGAGATGGTAGACTTACATGCATGTCGAGTTTGTCGATTTCGGACAAAACCCACCCTACGGACCCATCGCCACTACAAACTAATATACGGAATGGATCGAAGTGCCTAAAGAGCCTTAATCCTAGCCTGGGACCAGTTGAAATCAGGTCGAACACTTGCGCTGGATTCAGCAATTGTTTAAAGCGTCTTAAAAATTTTACCCCTTGATTATCACCTGAAAAAAAAAGAACCAAAATTAGTATCTCTAAACTGTCTTTATACTACCACGACCAAGATCAAGACTAAAGCTAAAAACGATCAAGACCGAGACAAAATATAAAAGACTAAACGAAAAATTACTGCTTCCAGTGGATTTATGAGTTAAACTATTTAAAGCAACTCAATATATTCTTTTGTTAGAACAAAACATTTTTAGTATTTGAATTTTTTAGTTTGCTTTACTAGATTTTATCACACTGGCCCAGTTTACCTATGCTAAAAAAATACAAAATTGTTACTTTTAAAACAAAATGTTGAGTTAACCCAAATTTTATATTCCAGGCTTTCTAAATATTCCGTTGCGACGTTTTTTCAATCATTTAGGATTCAGAAAGTTAAAGCTGTTTTACATGAAGAGTTCAGACCCGGTGTATTCTGTTTTTACATTTCGTTTTTTTTTTTGTGTGTTGCTAGGATACCGTTTATCTGATTATGAGGACTGCGAAGATTTTGTATCAGCAGGTTTTATCAATCTCCCTTGGGAAATCCTAAAATTTAGACACGTTTTTACTTATTTTCTTGTGCTTTTAGTTATTGGCATAATTTTAAGATTATTTGTTGATAATGTTTGTCATAATTAAATGTATTGTATCACCTATTTCTTAGTTAGCAGGCCAATTAGGAGTCATATAAACAGTGAACATTAAGAAATAAAAGAAATAAGAAGGAATCAATCAAGTGAAATGGCAGACCATCTTCATTCAGTTTCCTGACATTTGTCTGTCAACTGTTGTCATTTTCAGGTTTGTAATAAATAAGGATTTAGTAATAAATAATGAGTGGCACAGAGCGTGTTTAGTTTTCTTGGTAACAGTTTATGATTCCGCTTAAATATTTACCACAAAAGAGGCTTGTTTCATAAAATTTGTGTTTATTTTACGAGGCTGGTATGAAAACAACAATTTTATGACCTTATTTAGTACCTACATTATTTCATGTTTTTTACCGTGAACTTCTAAAATATTTTCCGTGTTAATTTAGAAAACAGAGTGGCGGTAACGTTGAATATTAAAATGGTATCCATCTATCCACCTACGTTGGGAAGAAAATGAGCGAAAATGTTGAAATTCTCTGTTATTAGTGTATTAGGCTGCGTTGGTTTGGATTGTCTTTATAAAGCGTTAAAGTTTGTAGGCATAAATGTAAACGTCAACATCAAGTACCTACCTACAAAGTATTCGGTAAATATAGCTCTAGTGTTTGACAGTGGAATAAAGAATCAATTAATTAGTAATTAGCCAGTAAATTAGAAACAATTGTTTTAGCACCCACATTAAACTTTCGAACTGGATGGGGTAGCATTCTTTTAGGCAATTAATTAGCCGCTCTACCCTCAGTCAATATTTATTTATCTATTGTACAGCAAATATTTGTTAACACACAAGATAGTAGGTATAAGCGAAAAAACTATAATATAATGAACTTAAAAGTGTCTAAATAAAATATACATACATAATGAAAATAATAAATCGCACATCCAAAAATACATCTACTGTGCCAAAAGTTATTTAATTTGGCCCAATGGAGAATTTGAAATCAAATCTAAAATATAAACAAAAAAGCCCTAGACAAAAATTTTCAGTGTCTCTCCAGTCTCTCAAAGTATTTCAGCGTCTCTGAGAGCGTCTCTCACAGTCTTTCACAGTCTCT